ATACCAGTAGACAGTGATAAGGTATGCATAAATAATGTAATAACTAGAGAAACAATTAAAAACCATACAACTAAAATTTATAAAAGCTGTACGCTCAAAACCACTATAGATGTCTTACTTCAAAACTTACTACAGAGCTACACTAATGAAGACACTGTGTTACTGGCATAAGATTAGACATATAGATTAATGAAATAGAATTAAGATTTCAAAAACAGACCCATACTTTCATTGGCAACTAGTTTTCTTTTATTATTATTTTACTTCCAGTTTTGTGATATAATTGACATACAGCACTGTGTAAGTTTACAATATAAAGCATAATGATTTGACTTACATTTCGAAATCATGACCGTAGTAAGTTTAGTGAGCATCCATCATCTCATAGAGATAAAAAGTGGAAGAAATAGAAAAAATTTGGGGGGGAATTCCCTGGTGGTTCAGTGGTTTAAAATCCACCTTTCAATGCAGGGGGCATAGATTCGATCCCTGGTTGGGGAACTAAGATCCCACGTGCCACAGGGCAACTAAGCCTGTGTACTGCAACAAGAGAAAGCCCATCACTGCAGTGATGACCATCCCTGGCCCCCATAAAAGAGAAAAAAATTTTTTTTCTTGTGATGAGAACACAGTATTTACTGTTACCTTTTATATAAAACTTATGGCAATGTTAATGATTTTAATCATATTGTATATTTTACCCCTAGTACTTATCTTGTAACTGGAAGCTTGTACCTTTGACTGCCTTCATGCAATTCCCCACTCCCTCTCCTTCTCCCCATCTCTGGTAACCACAAATCAGATTTCTTTTTCTTTTAGTTTGTGTTTGAAGTATAACTGACATACGACCAATATTAGTTCCTGGTGCATGGCAGTTTATTTTCACCAAGATAATTCAATGGGGAAAGAATATTCTTTTCAATAATGAAAAGAAATTTATTGAAAAATTTCTTTTCAATAAATGATGCTAAGACAACTAGATGTTCACATGCAAAATAATGCAGTTGGTCCCATATACAAAAATTATGTTGAAATGGGTCATTTCAAGTAAATGTAAGAGGTAAAACTATACAAATTTTATATGAAAACATACATGTAAATCTTCATGACCTTGGGTTATGCAGTGATTTCTTAGATACAACACTAAAAACACAGCAATATATGAATAAAAAAGATAAACAATATCAAAATTAAAAATTTTGTTTCAAAGATTATAATAAAAAATGAAAAGACAATAGGAAAAAGTTTTGCAAATAATATATCTGATAAGGGACTTGTATCTAGAATATAAAAAGGATGATTGCATTTGATAATAAAATGACAAATAACCCAATTAAAAAATGGACAAGGTATCTGGATAGACATTTCTCCAAAGAAGTCATGCAAATGGCCTGTAAGCACGTAAGAAGATGCTCAATCATTAGCCACCAAGAAAATATACACAGATTCTTAAGCAAATATTAGCAAAGAGAGTGCAGCAATATATAAAAGTAATTATACACCATGTCCAAATGAGGTTTACTCTAGGGATGTAGGCTGGTTCAGTATTTGAAAAACCAGTCAAGGTAATGCATCATGTTAACAGGCTAAAAAAAAAAAAAATCACAGCATTTAAGCAGAAAAAGCCTTTGAAAAAAGTTAAGCATTTATTCTTGATAAAGACTCTCAGGAAAAATAGGAATAAAGGAGAACGTCATTGAATTGGGAAGAGCACCTACAAAAAATCTACAGTTAATATTATACTTATTGATAAAAGACTGAATGAATGCTTTAGGAACAAAGAAAGGATGTCTGCTCTCACCAGTCTTATTAAACAAAGTGCCAGGATTGGTAGCCCACACTATAAGGCAAGAAAAGTAAATAAAAGACATTCATATCAGGAAGAAATGTTTTGTTCATTGAACATATCAATGTCAACATCCTGGTTGTGATATGGTACTAAAGTTTTGCAAGATGTTACCATTGGGGCAAGGAACAACAAGACTGGTTCAAAATTGGGAAAGAAGTACGTCAAGTCTGTCTGTTGTTACCCTGCTTATTTAATTTACATGCAGAGTATAGTATAGTGAAGTCGCTCAGTTGTGTCTGACTCTTTGTGACCCCACGGACTGTAGCCTACCTGGCTTCTCGGTCCATGGGATTTTCCAGGCATGAATACTGGAGTGGGTTGCCATTTCCTTCTCTGGCAGATCTTCCCGACCTAGGGATCGAACTCGGGTCTCCTGCATTGTAGGCAGACATTTTACTGTCTGAGCTACCAGGGAGGCCCATAAATGCTGGGCTGGATGAAGCAAGAGCTGGAATCAAGATTGCCTCAGATATCAATAACCTCAGATAAGCAGATGACACCAGTCTTATGGCAGAAAGTGAAGAAGAGCTAAAGAGCCTATTGATGAAGTTAAAAAAGGATAGTGAAAAGCTGGCTTAAAACTCAGCATTGTAAAAACTAAGATCATGGCATCCAGTCTCATCACTTCATGGCAAATAGACGGGGAAAGAATGGAAACAGTGGCAGACTTTATTTGCTTGGGCTCCAAAATCACTGTAGATGGTGACTGCAGCCATGAAATTAAAAGACACTTGCTCCTTGGAAAGAAAGTGATGACTAAACTATACAGAGTATTAAAAAGCAGAGACATTACTTTACCAACAAAGGTCCATCTAGTCAAAGCTATGGTTTTTCCAGTAGTCATGTATGGATATGAGAGTTGGAGCACAATGAAGGCTGAGCACCGAAGAACTGATGCTTTTGAACTGTGGTGTTGTAGAAAACTCTTGAGAGTTCCCTGGACTTCAAGGAGATCCAACCAGTTAGTCCTAAAGGAAATCAGTCCTGAATATTCATTGGAAGGACTGATGCTGAAGCTCCAGTAATTTGGCCACCTGATGCGAAGAGCCAGCTCATTGGAAAAGACCCTGATGTTGGGAAAGATTGAAGGCAGAAGGGGACGAGAGCGGATGAGATGATTGGATGGCATCACTGTCTTGATGGACATGAATTTTAGCAAGCTCCAGAAGATGGTGAAGGACAAAGAAGCCTGGTGTGTTGCAGTGTATGGGGTCACAAAGAGTGGGAGACGACTGAGCAACTGAACAACAAAAAAACCACTGGAGGAACTGTGTAAAGTATACAGGGATCGCTATTCTTACAACTGAATGTTAATCTACAATCATCTTGAAAGGATTCACCTTAAAGAAAAAATATGGATTGGCCCCAAATCTCTTTTGCTTTTATATGCTTTGCATTCTTAGCATTGCATGGAAAATGTACTATTGGTGAGAGTAGGAACTCTTCTATTCCATGTGTTTCTTTTCGAGCATAAGTTTTTGCTTTCAGTGAAAAATAACTCATTCATCAGGCATGGTGAATCATCCAGCAAGGATGATAAATCTGACCTTGAGGCGAATTTTATTTTACATCGGTGATGTCAGATATCCAGTCAGCTGCTAGGATTCTCTAGGAAAAGGAACATGAAATGCAAGAAATTGCCCAGAGGCCCCTGCATCTGACAGCCAAATTAGAAGGAGGGATTATGATCAATATCTCTGGCAAGAAATCTCTTCTGTGGGATCTATTAGTCCCTAGTATGTATTCTGGTGAGAGGAGGGCAGATGGAGAAATGATAGATTATGCAGTCCTGATGGAAAGACATGGATAGTAGAGAACCCAGGCTGAGGAGGATATGTTCCCTTTTAAAAAGGTAATGGGGGGGGGGTGCTTCTGGGAAATATGAACTTACTCTGACTAAGAGGCATAGGAATGCATTGTCTATATTAAAAACCTAACATTTATATACTTCACCATATACTCAGACTATCTCTGGAATCAGGTAACAGTTGTTAGGGGAAGAGAACTGAACGGCTGAGGAACAAGGGAGGGAGGAGACATCTTGATTTTCGCATTATGTTCATGTACTATCTGTTTACAAGAACAAATAAACCGGTGGCCAGATTTCCTATAAGCCTCTCTCGGACAGTATTTTGTCCAGATTTTTGCTTGAAGGTTTAAGTCCTGAAAACTGCCAGCTTCTCACCTTTGCCAGAATCTAGGTGTATGGGTGAAATAGGGTGGAAGGATCACTGGACTGAGAGAACACTTGGGTTCTAGCCTCTTGTGTCTCACTAGGTAGCTGTGACCTTAAATAAGCTCTTTCAGCTATTTCCCTGGGCTTCAGTTTCCTTCTTTGTAACAAAAAGGCGCCCTCTGAAGTCCTTGGTCATTTAAAGTTACCGCCTCCTTTAATGCTGCCCCCAGCATTTGGGAATGGGGGCCTCTGCAATGCACCTCGTACGGGCTGAGTAAACATTTACCCGCTGGTTAACTGGACGGAGACTAAGAGGCGCTCACAGTAGATGACGAGGCGTCCCCTGGCACTCTTCAGCACGGAGCAGCTGAGCGCGGCGGAACGATGGGCCTGCGACGTCCTTGAAACAGCTCCATTCCTGGAGTACAGTTAGCTGGTGCTCAACCAATGAGTGAACGTGTGAGTGAAATGAACGAGACAGGTGGACCGCGAAATGTGCAATTATCTAGTGAATTCCCGCAAAAAAAAAAAAAAATTAGAGACAACGCCGCCCTTCCCCGATTCTTCCAGGCGACAGCCGAGGTGTGAAACTCCGGCAGCTGACAGGCGAAGCCTTGCAGATTTCGCTTGGCTGAGAGGCGGCAGGCGGGGCTGAGGGAGAGAGCGAGCCTGGAGCACGCTCGCCCCGCCTCCCGTCGCGCGCGCCCCGCCCCCCTGCGCGCCCCTCCTCCCGCCGCGCGCGCCCGGGGCCGCGGCGAAGCCGGGCTGGCGGCGCGCGATCTCCGCGTCGCCGCGTGGGTGGGTGGGATCGCGGCAGAGCTCCGGACGCCGGAGCAGGGGCGGGAGAGCACCATGGCGGCGGCGGCGGCGGCATCCGTTCCCCGCGCCGCGGCGAGGTGAGGGGCCGCGCGTCTCCCTCGCGGCTGAGGAGGCCACAGCCGCCCGCCCGCCTTCCGTGCGGGCCGCGGCTCCGGCATGGCCGGGCTCATTAAGAAGCAGATCCTGAAGCACCTGTCCCGGTGAGAGCGCCAGCGCCGGCCCCGGCCGTCCCGCGGCCGTCCTCGTCCCCTTCGACCCTCCTCCCTAAAGCCGTACTCCTCCGGCCTCCCTCTCTTCAGCCCCCGGGCCGGGACTCGGCGGCGATCCCCGCCTCAGCTCGAGCCGGATAGCCCGCTCCCGGGGGCCGCGACCGTTGTCACCGCGCTGCTCTGCTCTGGCCCTGGGCCCTGGGGGCCCGGCGCCCCTGCCCCGGCGCGGGTGCCCAGGCTCTCCTTCCCATCGGAAGAGCCCCCGGCCCTCCTGACCGCAAGGATCTCCTGACTGGTCGCGCGCACCTCAGTTCCCACACCGCCGGGCAGGTCACCCCGGTCCCCCTTGCATGCCCCCCGCCCCGCCCCAGGCCCTCTGCCCGGCCCCAGGTGGCCCCAGCGGTTCCCACTCTTTCCTGTCGGCCCCGCGGCGTCTTCTCCGTGGTGGTGCCCCTCCCTCGGGGCCGTCTGCCCGCCTCTTCACCCGCCCACCTGCCCGCTCCTCTGTCTTCGTCTTCCTCCTTCTGCTCCGGACTAGACCCTTCATTCCCGGCCACTCACTTATAAATGACCCCGTCCCCCAGTCCTTCAGAACCCATTCTCCGCTCAGATTCCCACCCGTGATACTGGTTTTCTCCCTCCCAGAAGCTCCCAGTTCCTTCTCTTCGTCGTCTGGCTGACCCTGTTGCATCACCCTTGAAAAAGACCTAATCCTTGCACCCAGGCCCTTCCTCGAATGTCCTTTTTCCCCTCCCGGGGCTTCTCTTCTCATTTAACACAGACTAAATGGAGAAAGGGCATGAGAGTTAGGCATAAAGTTTCAACAGCCTTCTCTTTAAGATAGGAGGATATTTGGACAGCCTGTGAAAATAACTAACGACGCCCACTTCTGCTTCACAGCCATCAGATAAGCAATGTTATGTCCGCCAAGTCATTTGGACCCGAGCTGGGTGGCACGCAAAACTGTTCGCTTGTGACTGGGTGACTGCTGACCCCTGAGTTAGGATTGCAGCTTGTCAGATCTGGTGTCCAGAAAAATCAGAAGCTAGCCTTTCACTTCGTTTTCACTCCTTATCCCCAGCAGGGCTTAGCGATCCCTTTAGACAGCCGTTGTCTCTCACGTGGAGGGTGACCCAGTCCTTGCCTCCACAGTGGTCAGTGGTTTTGAGAAGGAGGGAATAGGGGGAGAAGCCAGTCACCATGGGACCCCAGGCCTGTTCTTTCTTTTCTGGTCTTCTCATTGGCTTGGTGAGTGCTGTGTGAGGCACTGTCGCTGGCACTGCATCCTCTCTTCTGGCAGACACTTTGGCCAATTTACTGTTATTTTGATTTTAGACTTTAATTAGTAATTAGATTCAGATTCATCTCTTGGCTAATCACCACACCATGATTTAAAGTAAAAGTGGATTAGAGGCTGGAGCTGGAAAGTGCCTTTGGATCCTCTACTTGGGTTAATTCCCTAGTATATTCTTTCTCAGGTAACATTCTCAGGTGCCATGAATTTGCTTGCTCTGTGTAAAGACATGTGTATGACTAATGATTGTGAAATGAGGCAGAAAATTTAACTAAAGGGAAACCATTAATTTATGAACATAGGATCAGACAAATTTTGGGTTTAGAGATGATCTTACCTAACATAGCATTGTGTTTAAGAGGTCAGGCTGATTTTGGTTTACTTTCTTTAATTGTAAAATGAGGATAATAGTAGTATCTAACTCAAAAGGTTATTGTGAGGGTTACATGAGTTAACACACAAGGGCTTACTGCAGTGCCTAGTGCATAGTAAGTATTCAATAAAGCATGCAATCTGGTTATTTGGGAGGCCACAACTTGTGTGATGGTTTGACATAAGCCATAGACTTTTCCAGAAAACCCACATTTGCAAACAGATTATTTTTTATGTAAGTTCCCATGGTGGGGATAGTTAAGAATCCCTTAAAACACATGCCTTAACCTCTTAAGGCATCTTGAATGAATGCCCTGAATAACCCCTGACTAGTTCAGCCTCTCATTTTATGACTGAGGAAGCTAAAGCCTAGAAGGATAAGTGACTTGCTTAAGTTGCTGTGGAAGGTACGGTAGAGAAATAGAGGGGGTTCCCTGGCAATCCAGTGGTTAGGACTCTGTGATTTCACTGCCAAGGGCATGGGTTCAACCCCCAGTCAGGGAACTAGGACCCCGCAAGCCCCATAGAGTGGCCAAAAAATGGGTAGAGAAATGGAACCTGGCTTCCTAATTCTGGTACACTTCTGGTACAATTCTGGTACACTTCTGCTGTACACTCATATTCTGCACTCTCTAAGCAGATAGAATTTTTAAAGAAAAAATTTAATAGTATATGCTGACATATTCAGTGACTCCTTAGTGAACAAAGTATCCCTTTTCGATGAAGTAGAAATAGGTGTTAGACATTGGTAGAAATTTCTTGTTTCCTGAGGGTTGTGTGGTTGACTCAGGAGTGGGGTGGAAGGTTATTCAGGGCTGCCTTGCTAGGATGTAGGTCTGACTGGTGGAAAGGTCAAACTCCTGAGGCCTTCCTGTTGATTTAACTCCGAAAAGCTTCCTTAATCACATGTGATATTTGTGTCTCTACTGCACATCCAGAGGCTGGCCTGCTTAAGAAAGAGGAGAGTTGGGATACTGGGTTACTATATTAGATAAATATTTGTAGGTGTTTAATAATTACTTGTTGCTGATGATGACAGTGCTGCTTGACCTGGAGGAGTATCCTACAGCAGGAAGGATATCCCAGTGACTCCTTTATTATGTTTCATTTTGCTCATGAAGTTTTGCATATTAAAGTGTCTTGTTGGAGTGTATCCTACTTATCAGTAGACTATTTTGGTAAATAAGATTTGGAGGAGGTGATATTCCAGATCCCACTCTAGGTCAGGCACTGAGCTGGGTGCTGGGGATTCAGCAGGGAAGAGGTACAATTCTCTTTTAAGGGCTTTAACCTATGGTTTGGATGACTGATGTATAATACATATAGCTTGTATGTTCAGTGTTTATTTAAATAAACCCAGGAAGAGATTTTTACTTAGAACAAAACAATAATTTAAAAAATACCGCAAATTGATTTTTCACTGAATTAGATTATTCTTGTCTTAGATCCCCTTAGCTAATGACCTTTTATTGTACAAATAGGAAGAAATATGATGGACTGTAAAGTAAGTTGAAGGACTATGGCTCATGGAAAGGGAGTTTTCTCTGAGGCCAGACAAGCTAGATTCACCTTCCTGCTCTGCCACTTAATAATACAGGGCAGCCTTTCTGAGTCTTAGTTTTCTTATCTGTAAAAGATGAGAATAAGAGAGAATACTACATGCTTAGCAGAATTTTTTGAGAAATTGGGGATAAAGTGTTTATTATAGTGCCTGGCGTGAAAGTAGAGTTTAATGAAAAGTAGCTGTCATACCATGACCAGAGAAGTTAGGGACACATCCATGGTATAGGTAACTGCAACTCACTCAACTGGCTCTTTTAGAAAGCCAGCAGAAGTCTTAATTATTTACTCTAAATGGCTGCAGGAAATGTGACTCCAAGTGACAGAGACATGGCTGATAACATGATAGGTATTTTAAAAAACATAAGTGCCTTTAGGAGAATAAGAGAACCTGACTGTGAGCTCAGCTTTCTTAGATCCTGATCAGTGCCCCCTCATCCTGGAGAGATCCCATGGCCAGTCCCCGGTGGACAGCTGGAGCTGCCCACTCAGAGGCTGCCTGGCCAGGGTCTGTTTAGGTAAAGGTTTGTGTGGGCAGGGCTTGTCTCGGCTTCCAAGTCACACTCCTTTGGATTAGGCCTTACTTATTATCATCTTCCTTTCCTGAATAATTATTTTGTACATCTTCTGGTAATAGTGCAATCATATACATCTTTTGTTTTCTTCCTCATCTTGTCTTGCTTCTGAAGAAGCACTTTTATTGACTTAGCGAATATTTAATAGTAATAGCCAGTTGTGAGAATAAACACTTTATAAGTCTTATGATGATTTAATCCTCAGCCTAACCTTGTGAAGGAGACATCAGGCCCATTTTATAGATGAAGAACTAAATGAGACACAGAGAAGTTAAATAACTTGCCCTATATCAGTAAGTGGTGGGACTGAGATCCTAACACAGTCACTCCCATTCCAGAGCCAGGCTCCTTCATCTCTCTGCTGCTCTAATGCATCTCATTTACTGAGTATTTCAAATTGAACAACCAGCACCATGTGAAGGAAGAGAATATTAACCAGCACGGAGGAGGTCCCTGAGTCTCCCCCATCATTACCTCTACCAAGGGGTAGCCACTATCCACTTCTAGCAGCAAAGCTTAGTTTTGTCTTTGTTTGTGCTGTATATAAATGGAATCACAGAATGTATACTTTCATGCCTGGCTTCTTTAGCTCAACATTGTTTTTGTGAGGTTAATCTCTGTTGTATCAATTTGTAGATTTTCTGTTTTCATTGCTATTATTCTATTACATGAATATACTTAAATTTATTTGTACATTTTTTTGTTGATGGACATTTGTATAGTTTCTCAGTTCAGAGCTGTGCTGAATAGTGCTATTAGGAAGAGTCTAGTACATATCCTTTGGTGAATACATGTGTCTGTTGTGGATATACCGAAGAGTGGAATTTCTGGGTTATGGGATATGTGTATGTTAAATTTTAATAGATATTACGAAACAGTTTTCCTAGCTGGCTGTACCAGTTTGCACTTCCTCTGAAAGTGTATAAGAATTCTGGTTGTTCTCCATCCTTGCTAACACTTAGTATTTTTCATCTTTTTCATTTTAGCCTTTCTGGTGGGTATGTTTTGAAATATTTTTACTTCATCTGTGATAAACCAGATGGCCCCTTTATTTTTGCCTTTGTTTAATTTTCAAATTCTGATTTGTTTGTGAATTTTAGTCACAAGCAAATGTCAGAACCTTGGAAACATAAGATCTTTTTGAAGAAATGTTCCAATTGGGCAGGTTCAATGGATGTAATTAGGGTAAT